CCCCAAATTCTGGAAGCGACTCTTCTTCACAATGCTGTTAAGGCTGCGGTCATCTCTCTTGGTTGTGCAGCGTTTCCTGCCACATTTCCCCCTTCCAACAGACTTTTTGTGGATGTGCTTTGAAACTGCACTCTGTGAACAGCTTGCTCTTTGAGAAATTTCTTTTTGTGTCTTACCCTCCTGATGGAGGGTGTCAATGACGGTCCTCTGGACAGCAGTCAGATCAGCAGTCTTCCCCATACTTGTGATTTAGTTTACTGAACCAAGCTGAGTGTTTTTCAAGGCTCAGGAAACCCTTGCAGGTGTTTCGAGTTAATTAGACGATTCAAGTGATTCGTTGAACACCCTACTAGTATACTTTTTCATGATATTCTAATATTTAGAGATAGGATATTTGAGTTTTCTTAAGCTGTATGCCATAATCAGCAATATTAAAATAATAAAAGGCTTGCAATATTTCAGTTGATTTGTAATGAATCCAGAATGTATGACATTTTTTTTTTTTTTTTTTTTTTTTTTTTTTTTTTTTTTTAAATTGCATTACAGAAAATAAAGAACTTTATCACAATATTCTAATTTTCTGAGACAGTCCTGTATGTACCATTACAAAACTGCAAAAGTGACATGGAGACCTGGAGCTGGACACAATGCACAGTTGCATTTTTATTTCTGATATTAAAATGCACCACAAAGAATTTCTGTTTAAAGTGTGCGAGTGTGTTTACCTGAATCCCAGCATGGCTGCACAGGTAGAAGTCGAACTCGGACGGGTGTGTGATGGTGCTGTCCACCGTGGTGCCTGCTGGGACGTTACCGCTCTTCCCCACCTGCAGCAGAGGATCAATCAGATTGCATTTAAGATTTTGCAAAACAATAGTTGTACAATAGGAAAAACTATTTAAAACCACACATGTAAGTAAACTCCTACTGACCCTCTCAGCTTTGTCAGAGCAGAAGAGACGGGTGTGGTGACGTTTCTGAACAACGATGTATGTGATGCCCGGCCTGTAGTCCTCTTCCAGACTGATGCAGGCCTTCCTGATGGCTATCAGCTCCGGCCACGCCACCTGAAATAGAAAAAAGTCACACAATTGAAAATGATCCAATGCCACATGTGTTGCAAGATTAGTATTGCATATCATTTTTCTGTTGCATTTTGTTTGTTTAATTTGAACTCAAGCAGGGTGTCAGATGGGATACACTTTATTTATCCTATGACCAAGTGAGTAGGACGAGTGCAAATATAAGAAATATGATAAAAATACAAAAAAAACTAAAAAGGTTAAAATACAAAATACATGGTTTTGACAGCCCCCTCTAACAATGACTCACAGCTGCTATTTCTGCCTTGAACACACTTTGGACTACAAAAATATGGTTGAAAACATCTGGAGAAGCTTAAAGTAAATACTGCAAAGCTCTCACCTGTTTCATCTGTCCCTCAGACACACCGCCCCGGTAATAGATGATGCGTGTGGGCTTGAAGCGCGTGGACTTGTAGAACTGGATGAGCAGCTCTCGCACCATGTTGGTCAGATCCTGGATCACTTCCTGACTGAAGAGCTGCTCCTGATGAGTCGGAGGCGGAGGGCACTGTGGGAGTTCAAGTTTGAGAAGTGTTACCGACTGAAGGGGGTTTGGACCATGCCAAAGTGAGGCATTTAAACTTGGATACACTGGAATGATTGAGAAAGAGTCAATAAGAGCACCGATACGCACCGCTGATACTTGGGATATGTCTTGTCTCGACGTCTGGACTCGCACCGTGGCGCAGTATCGGCTGGGGTGGCCGTCCATGCTGCCCACCACCGCCGCGATGGAAGGCTTCTTCCCGTCGCCTGCTGGAGGATGTGTGACGTCTGCGCCAAGGAAGATGACCGGCTGCTGGAACACAGAGGGCCTGACCGAGGACAGGACACAAGAGAAGAAGAGAAACAGTTACAGAGCTGTACATTGTATTTTTTATTTAATTTCTGAACCATGGACATTAAGAACGTGGAGAATAGTGTGAGAAAATGGATTACAAATATGATATGTTATATTTATTCAGTCAGACTAAATAAAAGCAAGAACTTCTACATCTTTATGAAATGTTATTACTACTTGGATTCCCCTTCGCCACGTGATTACCAGAAGACTGTAGACATCTGACCAAACTACAATTCATATTTGTATTACTGGCTGCTGTTAGACAGTTCAACTTCTGTCATAAATCTGTAAATAACAGTGTAATATATACTACCATTTTGAAATACTATCACCTGGCTGCTATCACACTGTTTTATACATGCTACACTTCTTGTTGGTCTTTTTAAAGAATACCACCACTGGTATCGGAGGTTTATTTCGTCAATTTTTATTTCTGTAACTTCTATTTTCTATCTTTAATATTTTATGCATGATTCTTAATTGATATTAAGTTATTTTTGGGTCTTTACTTTCGCTGTAACAATTAGACCCTCCAGAAAAACACGATTCTGCGATCGCAGAATTTACCGCATAATCAGCCAAATGGCGCAGATTTTTAAAAAGCCGCATATTTATGAAAAGGCCGCATAATCCCCGCATTTTTCCACACAAAGTTGAGAAAAAAAAAAAGTTAACTCGTCTTGACGTGACGTCATCAGCTCGCGCATCACAGAATGTAAACAACACTGTATAGAGCTCATTTACCAACGAACATTTCTACTAAAGACCGGGCAAAAAGTGGGGGGAAACTATTCTGCACCCCGTGCAACTGTGTGTTGCAGCATAAGAGAAAATCGACGGTGGCGACCCACTTTGATTCATTCAAACATTCGAAAATGCTTTCTGCTGCTGCGGACAAGAAAGCCATTCAACTCCCGTTCACCGAGGGATCAACCTCCAAAACCCTTTCGAGGGCTACAAGAA